GATCCGTCGAAGCTAGCAACGTACAGATCCTCATCCGATCTCACTGTCGGGATTGGGGCCTGGACCTTGCGTCTCGGCTCCTTTTTCGGGGCGATCGATATCAGCGCTTTATCGACTTCGGATCTGGGTGTGATACTGGCTGCTAATGTGCCCAGGATCTCATCCTCGCCCTTGTTACACTTGACGATCTCGAGGATCTAGGGTGAAAGTAGCGCGGCCCACTGTCCCAGACGTCCTTGTAATGCATTGGATCTAAACAACCAGGACAGTGTGCGCGTCAGCACTCGGATCGGTCTCCCAACCAAAGTATTATAGTTGAGATCCAGGATCCGAAACAATGCTAACACCTCTTTCTCTGCGATCCCGTAGTTTAGTTCGTTGGACTTCAACGTACGGCTCGCGAACATCCCTGGATAATAAACCTGATCATATTCTTGCATGAGTGAACCGGAGATCGCCCAATCACTGGCATATACAATCACCACAGCTTGTCGATCCGGGTCGAAGTGCCGCAGGATCGCCGTCTTCGCGATCTTCTCCTTTAGCATTTTGAAGGATCTGTGGGCATGGATCCACCTGGGATCCAGATCCGCAAGATCGTCATTCTCGGGGTTGGACGTCTTCACACAGGCAGGCGTCGGATCCCGTGATGCTAGGTCCGGATCTTGATCGCTAAGTTCGGGATCCGGACCCCGCGGGCTCGGATCCGAACCTTGCGGACTCTTCGGATCCTTGGTCAATATGTCTGGATCCGGGGATTCCGATGCTAGTGCTAGCTGGATCCGGCTCCGATTCATGCCCTTCTCCATCGCAGCATAGTCGATCTCCCTCAACTCATACAGCACAGATGCGTAAATCGCGTAATCTTCGATGAAGCGACTGTAATAGTTCAGACTGCCCAAAAAGGATTGCATGGCACCCAGGACTCGAGATCCGTCAACGCCGACAGATCCTTCGGATTTGCCTCCAGTCCATCGTGCGATACCTTGTGACCGAGATATTCCATTCCCCAGAAAATCTTCACCACGCTGATCGACAAGGTCCATTTGTTGCACGCCTCCAGAAGATCTTCAACTCCGTCACATAGCTGATCCCAATTGGCCGCTGGTACTAAAATGTCGTCGATGTAGAATCTGCGCCCTAACATCGATGGTTTGCCCGGATCTTCAGGTTCTCCGGCCTCAAATACATCCAGACGCTCCAGATCACCTGTCATTTTCGGGATCCGAGTGAACCCATACAAGGAGTTGTCGATCATGTGGTGAAGCGAATTGCAGCTTCGCAGACCACCGAGCTTTC